CCTACACAACAAGTGTAGCGAGAAAAGTTTTTTGAAACATTCCTCTCACACGCCATATATATGGCACCAGACAACAAATATAGTAGCAAGTTAGCTTAATTTTGATCAAAAAAGAAATATCAGGTTTGATAGAAAACTCTCTAATTAAATTTATCGGTTTATTTAGTTTATTCCATTTTCTAAATATTTCTGTCTGCAGATGTTCTAATTTTTCTCATACATGCTAGTTTTTTCTGAAATGCAAGCGCTGTTCGAAGGAGAGCGCAATTTGACTGATTTTTAAACAAACGATTAAATTAAAATAAATCAAGAAGAAAACGTTTTCTATTTTACTTTTAATTACAAATATGCAGCAAGAAATACACAGTCCGTAATACTTTCAGAGAAATGATGACACCATGCAAAGAAAGCAAATTTCATGTTTGAATGATTTTGAAGCCCACTTTTTTCTAGTTTCCTTCTTAAACGTCATCGAAAGTTTGTTGTTGTTGGTTTTGTTTTTGTTGTTGTTGTTGTTGTTGACGTTGTTGTTGTTTGTTTGTTTTCTTGTATTTATCTACATGGACTCATCGTCCATCATAGGAGCACCGCCGGGTGCCATGCCTCCCCCTGGAGCACCACCGCCGCCCATGGGGGCACTGATTCCGAGAGAGGCGAGCAGAGCGTTGCGGTAGTCTGTCAGTTCCTGTCGCGATGCTCCCGGAGGAGGGGGTTCAGGGGTCGCCTCCGTCAGTTGGTAGGTGATGGCGAACACCACGAGAAGCACTGCAAATCATAACCAGAAAAATTATAACCACAAACATGTTTTCAAGAAGTGAGCATTTCGTTTATTATCTACAAAAAATCTTAAAATTTTCCCATCTTGAAAGAAAACAAGAAAAGTTTAGCTACCTACCGAGTTGCGTCTTCAAATTAAACAAAAATTAATTGAAATTTTGAATTATTTTGTTTTTATGCCCCTTTTTTTATCCAAACTTGAACTTGAACTTTTACATGTAAATCGGCTTGGAGAATACCAAAAAAAAACGTCAGCTCGCTTGTCGGTTGGCATCATATACATTATTCAAAAAAAAATACTTTGGAAACACCATAAAAATTGTATTCTCAAATTTTGCAGCAAAACTTACCGAAAATTTTTCTCATCATGATTGAAACGTTTAGTTTAGTCTTAAAATTCTATCGCAACTGAGTTTTAATGGCTGAAACTTCTATCGCAACTGAATTATAACTGCTGAAACTGTTTAATTTTTATTCTCAAATTTTGCTGCAAAACTTACCAAAAATTTTTCTCATCATGATTGAAAGGTTTATAGTTTAGTCTTAAACTTCTATTACAACTGAATTTTAATTGCTGAAACTGTTTAATGAAAATTTAAATCTTGGTTAGATTTTAAAATTTTTCTGCAAGCTGCGTTTTCCGCTTGTGTTAGCTTCGGCAAGTCATCCAAATGATAAAAAACAGGCCGAAATTTTTCATCCTTCTTGCAAACGCTTTAAAACATGAGAAAATTGCTGTAGTTAGCAAAAAATGTCAGTATCGTCACAGTTCGATTCCGAAAATTTGTTGGCTTAAGCTCTTACCAATGCGTTTTTGCAACAACCGAAACTTTCCTTCTCAAAATGCTTTGCTACTTAAAACCGCTGTTTCTTCAGTTTTCATGTCTGATCTAACCATTTCGACTTCAAAGCAAACAAAACGTTACGCATAGCTGGTTTTAGAAATGCCGTTGAAATGGATTTTATTAAGCAACAGCTTGAGAGTTCAAAATTTTCTAACTATCAAATGTTTGATCACGAGCAAAATGAAATTATGAAAAAAATAACAGATAATGTTAGTTTCTATAAACTCAATTGTACTCTATCAATTTTTCAGCAGCTGCAAAAAAAATAACGCGAGGTAATCGTAAACGTTAGCAAAACAGGTTAGAAAAGGGAAATACACAATCAAATTTTTGAACACGAAAAAGCAAACAGGTATTGCAAAAAGCGTCAAAGTTCGAAAATATTTCAGGCTGATATGAAAATTTTCCCATTACCCAAGTTCTTTTGACTTCAGCCACCTGATTCCAAAAACCCTGGAAAAGTTAGTGGTCGAGTTAAGTGGCACAACTATTTATTAAAGAAGAACAAGACTGCTAGTGAAGTGGAACCTGATCTAAACTACATTTTATGATTGGATAAATTAGATATTTTACCAATGTAAAGTATTTAATATTAACCAATCATGATCCATCTAACTAACAACCCACTTATTTGTAAGTGCTGAAGTTACTTGTAATTTCAGCACCAGAGAGATTTGAATTTAACTTAGAAATTAGTTGGACTCTCCCGAGCACTTCAGCAGCCGCAATAAACCAGTATACCCTAGATCTATTGAGCCTAGCAGAGACTAGTTAAACAACCTGAGACTAGATAGTATAAGAGTAAGATTAGGATCGGTATTAGACTAAGAAGTTGCACGAATCTATCCGGCCGAAAATAAGATAGCGTGACGAGCAGACGGTGTACCCTATCCGAAATTACTCTATGAGTTAACCAACTCGGTCCTAACTCATCTGGTGCGACCATAAGTCTCGAACAAGACCTTAATAGCTTAGAATTAACCAAAATAGATTAGAAATTAGACAAAAACATTTACAAA